ATGCATCAAAATAAGAGATTGCTCCGGTTTCGATTCAGAGGAGAGAAATTTCTTTTTTGAAAGGAGTTCAAATTCTTTGTAGCAGAATAGAGAAAGAGTGCACAAATGGAGAAAATGTTGGTTTTGACTCTGATGTAAAAACACATAACTCAGGTAGCTTTAGAATCCAACTTTCAAAAATTGTATAGTTGTTGGAACGGGCTTCAAAGACTGGGTCTTTTGATTGCTGCTTGCTCTACTCATTTGTACCCTATTGTTTGTTTAAAATTTCTCCTCTTGCTGTGACAAACACATGCAGAGTAAAAACAAGAAAAACAAAGCTTTGCACATCACCATCATTACATTACTACGATTTCATTCTACATGCCCTCAATCTCATTATACTGTTAGCATTCTACAGCATTGGAAGAGTTGTTAGCATTCTACGAAGCTCTTCTCATGCATCAACACTTTCTCACTCCAAAGTCGTTTAACTCAAATTACAATCATATCAACCAAATTATAGTACAGTATATGTTAATCTTCCATATCGATTTTAACTCCATTCTACACTCCTTAAACAACAAAATCAAAATAGAAAAGCTTGAATTAGGCACACCTCATTCATTATTTGATGGGGAAAAACATGGTGTTGTGAACTCCTTTACTAGCGTTCTCGATCAATTTTATCAATTAAACCCCCAAAGATTAGAATTATCAATTTGGGAAGGACAAAAAGAAAAACGAAAACCGCTGCAGCAAAGAATCATAGCAAACGATGAGAAATAAATCACGAGGAATGGTGGTTTCTTATAGCAAAAGTGAGAGAGAGAGAGAGGTCATTTTTCTCCTTTTTTTTCCTTATTTTCCTTTCCCTTTTAAAGATCAAAGAAGAAATGTGGTGTTGTTGACGACTTTTATTTCGATCTGTAACAAGCTCTCTTTGCTGCTCGAATGATATCCTCTATCTGCATTCATTACAAAATCTCAAATTCATCAATAAAGAACGAGATTGCTATACATTTGAACAAGTTTCTATGCAAATAAGGGGGGGGG